CGTTGTCCACTGCCGGTAAGTTCTTAAACCTGAGATATTCTGAGATGGCTCCAACCGTTGCAGGTGTTGCACCTTACCGAGGTGGAGTTTGAGTGTAACGTCTCTGGCATATGCAGAGTGGGTAAGTTTATGGCCCAGGCTTTGACTCTTGGCCAGCCCTGAGCACAAGAATTTGAAACAGATTTTGGACGAACAATGCTTGAGAAATTTCGCCGACCAAAACTGGGTTAGATCGCCGAAACAACAGCCCTTGGTCGGTGAAAACCCTATTCTTTCCGGTACGTAGAACCGGCTGTCGTGGGAATGACACAACAGTCGTGCTTTCCTGGGTTATCCAGCTCAGTTTCGCTATCATTTCGTACGGGAAGCGATCTTTCAGTAATCGGTAAACTGATGATAAAATAATTTTACACAAACAAAATACACGGGGAAAAATTACCGAAAATCGATTTAAATACCCGTTTAGCTTATTTCGTATTTCGTATAATCCAACGTGATTGAACTTCTTATACCATTTTTCCACGGTACCCTGAATTACTTGGTTCGTTCCCCCAATTACGATCGCGAATTACCCCATTCCCACGGGCACATTCTTAATTCGATTTGACAGTTCTCTGCCTCTGTGTTTTATTTTTTTTTCGCTGCAAAATTGGTTTAAAATGTAGGTTCTTCCTAAAAATGTATAAGTTTCCATATTAAATTAGGGATATACACATCTAAAAACTTTACTTTTCGTACTCAGAAAAAATGCAAGTTTTAATTTGTGAGCTTGTTTCGATAAATTTCCGATAAAAATTAGAGACATCAGCGATTTGTTCGTAATTCGCATGGTAATTGGATCTGAATTACAAACAAATGAGGTAATTCGCTCTCAAATTTTTGTATGTCGAATTACGAAATTCGAAGGGTAATTGGAGTGCGAATTACGAATGAGAGACGAAATACGTAATTGGGTTGTCGTGGGAAAGCCGTATTACATTCATCAATCATAAAATTCAAGCATTTCTTCATACTCGGCCATTGACAATTTTTGTTTGCCATTGACAGCGGCGGCGTTATGAAGCACTGAATTTTTGACAAAATAAACCAATTAAACTAAACGCCTCTATCTAATTGGCCACGCTTCAGTCGTGATTTGCTAAATTTTATTCTAAAAAAAAATTGAGAATAGTAACACCGAGCATAACTGTTGTGGAAGAATTTATTTGTCGATGGCGGCTGTCCATATATAACGTAAGACCTTTGTGGGGGAGGGCGGGTCTAGAATTTTCCTACTTTTTCTTATATGGGGGGAGGGGGCGTCCCGCAGACTCTTACGTAATATTATTTTTCTTGTATTATTCAAAATTTTTCAATTAAAGTACTAAATTGCATTGCAATGAAAAATATACATTAAATACGGAGGATATTACAATTTTTTACAACTTTTGCTTTAATTTTTCTATTTTTCTAAAAAAACGTTACTCTTCGGTGTCTATTATAACCGAAAAATGCAGCTCGAACACAAACAGGCGAAAACTCCCTTACGTAATATATGGACAGCCCCTAAGCATTCACAAAAAGCTTCACTTGATCTTTTCTGAGCCTCAGCGTCGAAGAGCAAAGAGGATAATTTCACGACGCGGGCGAGAGCTCATGTGTGTCCTCGCAGAAATATGAAATACCTTTGAGTGAAATAGGCGAAAACTTCCTTACGTAATATATGGACAGCCCCATGCTCAGACACGAAAACTTTTGTTGCGGGAATCGAAGCTTATTGGGGAAAGAGCGACGAGGAAAGGGGACGGGTACCGAGTCGCCCATACTCGGGAAACACGCTTTGTGCTCTCGTTCGTCTGAGTAATTCAAGTTGGCGGTTCACATGAAAAACAATTTTTTCTAATCCGATAAGTCTTAAAATACCTTTGCCAGCAGCTTAAAGTATAACCTTTATATTTTAAACTGCCGTTGAGTTTTTAAAATATCTTTTATTCTCGTCGAGAAATCGTATTTTGAACTTTCCAGTTATGTATCGTCACTAGACACGAATAAAGGCGCGAGCTCAAGAGTTGACCGCGAAAAAAGGCGCATAAAAAAAACTTCAGCGAAGAAAGACTCTTAACATAGTTGACGGCGAAGAAAGACGCGTCAAAATATTTGACGGCGAAGAGGGACGCGGAAATTTATTTTCGCGGTCAACTATGTTTGCGGGTGTAATAGTTAGTCTGTTCCAATAGCAGTCCGGTATACAGGATTTAGTCAGAAATTACAGGAAGTCGTTCCTATTGACATAAAACCTGTAAGTGGGAACACATTTGAGAGAGTAACTGAGCAACTGTTCCTAGTCAGAAGTTACAGGATTTAGTCCGGAGTTTCTTTTCCTGTAAGTTCATGAAAAGTGTCAAACGATCAGCTGATTTGCATGTGCAAGCAAAAACAAACAGCGGTGAAAGCAAAAAACCTTGTATTTGTAAAAAAATGGAAGTAAACAACGAAATATTTGAATATGTATAGATTTTAATAATTATTTAGTGATATTTCAGCCAAATCAGTGTTGTACCAATGATATGTAAACAAACCGACTGACGGTTTTACAGGAAATAGTGCTTTTTGCGTTCCTATGCACTTCTGCATCTGTTCTCCTTTTACTCTCATTTGAGAGAGTAAAATTGTAGTTTGACAGTTCCACAGGTTTTAGTCCGAAGTTCAAAGGAACAGACTAAGTATGTACATTACGTTAATAGCTTTTTATTATCTTATTTTATCTTTATTCAATCTATGATTTATAATCTTACAGACTAGAAGTAGGCTTAAAAGTATTAACGGTGACTATACTATATGTACAATTACGAAAATAGGTTTCAAGAGATGATTTAAAAAGAATTCTTGGAAACGAAAAGTCGATATCTAAGCTCTTTGAGATATTGTTAAATTCCACAAGGCCTCGAAAAATAGGCGCAAAAGATGAGTAGTTAATCTTAACGGCAGGAACGTAAAAGGGGATGTGAGAGCGAAGAGTTCTGAGAGGCACATTAAAGGTAACCTGCTCAAGAAGAGATGGGCAGTCAATGGATCCAGAGATAAGATCGAAGACGAATAGGAGTAATTGGGTACGCCTTCTATTTTCCAATGATAGCAAATTTATTAGTTTACACCGGGAGTAATATGAGGGAATCGGATCTGAGAAGTTAAGAGAAGCGAAGGCAAATCGAATAAACACCTTTTGAACTCGCTCAATCCTAGAGGCGTGACAATTATAAATAGGGCTCCATATAATAGAGGCATACTCAAGTTTAGATCGTACTAAGGAATTAAATAATGCTTTCCGAGTGTAAGGGTCTCTAAAATCCTTGGCATATCTACGAATAAATGCTAAATTACTATAAACTTTTGGGAGTAAATGACAAACATGATTTATAAATGAAAAATTCGAGTCAAACACAACACCAAGATCAACAAATTCACTAACAGAAGTAAGCTGATGGTTTACGAGGTAGTAATTTGAAGTAAGGGCATTTTGAGATTTAGATAAGGTCATCTTAAAGCACTTTTTTACATTCAAAGACAGTTTATTATATTCACACCAATTTAAAAGACGATCTAAATCTTCCAGAAGAAAGAGAACATCAGATGAGGAGTTTTAAAGATGAAAGAGTTTTAAATCATCGGCATACAATAAAAAACTGGCGTGTTTGAAACAGGAGCTAATATCGTTTATAAACAGGACAAACAATAGGGGGCCAAGAATGCTACCCTGGGGTACACCTGATGTTACAACAAAGGGATTAGATTTACAATCATCGATATGAACAGACAGAGTCCTATTTGTAAGGTAAGACTTTAGCCAAGCTAGGAAAATAAAGTGAACACCAATGCACTCCAACTTGTGTAGCAATAATAGGTGTGGTACCTTATCGAAGGCTTTAGAAAAGTCCGTATAAATGGTGTCTACCTGCGAGCCATCTTTGAAGGAAGAAATACAAAATTCTGAAAAAGAAGCTAAATTAGTTACCGTTGAACGACCAGCTACAAAACCATGTTGGTGGGGTTCAATCATTCTTTTGGCAAGAAAAGAGAGTTTAAAATGTATCACTTTTTCGAATAGCTTTGAGCAGACAGACGGTTTCGAAATAGGCCTATAATTTGTGATATCGTTTCTATTTCCAGATTTAAAGACTGGGGTTATAGACGCAATTTTCCATCTGTTAATAAATAATCCAGTCGAAAGTGATAGGTTGAATATATGACATAAAGGAATACATAATGACAGACTACATCGTTTAACGAAGTGGGCACAAAAACCATCAGAATCACACTTCAATGTCGGAGTTAGGGTAGTCATGGCGGAAGCTATTGGAGAATAGTGCTGAAGTGGCAGTCTTTCCCCAAGTATAAATCTTTGATTACGCGTCTTTCTTCGCCGTCATCTAGGTTAGGTGTCTTTCTTCGCCGAAGTTTTTCTTAAGCGCCTTTTTTCGTAAAATTTTTGTATGCGTCTTTTTTCGTCGTCGAAACACTAGCGCGCCTTTATTCGTGTCTAGTGACGGTATACTTTTTATATACTTTTTTTTATATATTTTAAACCACAGCCAACAATGAAATTCTGAGTTAAGATTCAAATTAAGCGCTCCGAAAATCTTCAGAAAATTTTGTACAGGTTTCTGTCGGCCTGTGTGATTCTTAGAAGTTTTTTTCTCGACGAATAAAACTAATGCCTGTGAATAATACTTATTTACAAACAACCAAATTTGTGGAACCAAAATTCAATTTCCAAGTGTTTGCATTTCAGTCTCAACAACAAAAACCCCGTGAATCAGCTATTTATCAAATTCTGGTCACGAAATGTGCAAATGTTACAACAATTTTATGAATTTACTAGTCTTTCTACTTGTGGTTTATTTAAATAAAACGTGAAATTTAGTTGAAACAGTTTAGCCGTTTTTTTTTTGGCCAATTTAGCCGGTTGGTCCAAGAAGTTCTGGCAACACTGTCCATAACCGATTCCGGAAGGCTGTCAATTTGACATCTTTTTGCATAGCTTGTTTGTGGTTGTGGAGTATGATTTTTTTGCAGATTTGTGTATTTTCTACAGTTCACGATTTTAATTGTGTTTTCTGTGCTTATCATAATTTAAAAAGATTAAATTAAACTGGATATATTGTGTATTAGTTTATATACTATTAAACTGACTAGCAATCGTTAATTGTGCAATGGCCTGTTTGTTGTGTTTGGAACATGGCATGACGCCGGCACGATTCATTGATATTTTTTCTGAGGAAGGTTGCCAAATGAATATTTGCAGCATAATTGCCAAACATCTATGGTTGAAAGTAAGTAAACTAAAATAATATTTGAAATTATAAGAAATATTTTGAACTATACAGCCGGAGAGGGATATATCTACTGGTCAACGCATTTGCTGGACTTGCTGGGAGGCATTGCGTGATTTTCACATATTCTATCAACGTGTGGCTGAGGTACACAACCGTGCAGACTGGAAGACTCCCTTTGCTCACATTGAGCAAGAACAAGAAAACGATCCATTGCCACAGGAAATCCAACTTAAATCTGAAGATGCCACGAATTCCGAAGAGAAGTTGCAAACTTCTGCGGATATGGAAGGTAACCTATTCGACTCAGGTATGTATACTAATTCGTCCAGCTATCGTGTATATACTATAAATTGCCAATAATTTCATATCTAGAAGTCAAGTTAGAGGTATATGACCTAGATTTATTACCACAAATCGAAATTATCGAAGAAAGCACGCCTGCGAGTAAAAGAGCCCAACGAGCCAAGCGTCGGGGACGCCCGCCAAAAGACCCAAATGCAAAAACATCGGCCATCCCCAAACGCATCAAACGAGATCCATCGCCACTGGCTGCTAACGATGATGACTCGGAAACCGAACTGCCTTTATCAGTTTTATTGAATGCTAGCATCAAGACTGATACCAATGACGATAGCAAACGAGTAATTGAAATATCACCAGCCGAAGACGAGTCAAAAACCGAAAATGAAACCGCTACTACTTCAACCACTGAACCTCAGAAAAAGCGACGTGGTAGACCTAGAAAAGTGCGGGTTGAAGAAGCATCGCCTAATATAAACGTCACGAAACAAAAGGAAAAGAACGAAAATAAAGATAATGGTAAAAAGGATATAAAAACCGAGCAGGTCTCCCTTAATAGTGACGCAGAAGATAACGATAATGACCGTGAATTCATCGCTGACTTCGGCGGTTGCTCTGGTACGGATGATAGCGGTGATTCTAGCAGCGACAATACTGATTCAGATGAAAGCCTTCCAGACTTCGAACCAAAACCGCAATATGCAGTCATTCCGAAGAAGAAAGTTGTTAAGCCCAAAAAGTATCGTAAGCGTGAGAAACCTCTTGTACCCCCTAAACGTATGACAAAAGAGGAACTCGAAGCGAAACGAGCTCAGCAAGATGAGTACGATAAAGCTATCAGGCAATTTTTTGGACGGTTCGCGTGTCCGAAATGTGAGTTGTTGGTCCAAAACTTTGCTGAAATTCGTGGGCACTTTAGAGCTTCGCATAACGAGGATCCCGGATATATGATGTGCTGTGGCCGAAAATTTCCACAAAGAAAAGCTCTAGCTGAGCACATATATTTGCATTGGAATCCAGAGCATTTCAAATGTACCCAATGCGGAAGACTTTTCCAAGACAGTCGCAATCTAGAGCAACATGAAGAGGCGCACGTCAACCCGCCAGAACCAAAAGAGCGGAAAATGTTTCAGTGTGATAAATGTCCGAAAGTATTTACAACAAAAGCCGCATTTGAGCACCATTCCTTTTCAAAGCATGTACCCAAATCGGAGTTTAAATTCTCATGTACACTATGTAATAAAAAGTAAGTATAACTGCTGGTTTCACCAGCAATTTAAGTGAAAAATTATTTGTTCCCTTCGTGAAACTGGCAATAATTGTCTATTTCCATAAATTTTTGCAATAAATAATATTGAAATTATTCATTGCATAGACTTCCAACACAGCGCAAGCTCAAGGACCACATGAAATACAATCATGATCCAGAAAGTACAATCATTTGCGACAAATGCGGCAAACAGGTGCGCACACAATACCTGAAAAAGCATCATCAACTAGAGCATTCTGAACAACCACGCCCAATTCCACAGCCTATGCAGTGTCAAATTTGTGGTACTTGGTTGCGTCATATGTCGGGTCTTAAACAACACATGAAATCAATACACGAAGATCCCGGTGGTGAACACCGTTGTTCTATTTGTAATAAAGTTTCAACAACGGCTCGTGCACTACGACGTCATGTTTACCTCAACCATGAGTGCGAGCGGAAATTCAAATGCACTATGTGTGAAAAGGCCTTTAAGCGGCCTCAAGATCTTAGAGTAAGAATACTATATCTCAATTAATGCTTTTTTACTTAAATAATTTTCTAATTGCAGGAGCATACCTCCACACATACCGGTGAAGTTTTATACACCTGCCCTAATTGTCCAATGACTTTCTTCTCTAATGCTAATATGTATAAGCATCGACAGAGATTACATCGTGCTGAATGGGAAGCAGACAGGAAGAAACCCAGGCATATAGCAAATATTATGGCTCAAGCTATGGGTGCAACAGCGGCACAGAGAGCGAAACAGGCAGTAGGCGCTACATCAGCCTTCTTTGCACAGAAAATGAACACCAGTGGAAGTACGGTTGGCACAGAAAGAATCAACATCGATCCGGAGGTCATGCAGCACCACTTACAAATGGCTATTCAATAAGATGCAACAATGAGATTTAAAGCGTTTATAATTATGAAAATAGATATGCATACCTATTAGGATAAATATAGGTTGCTTTTAAGAGCCAGAGCTTGGATAGTTATTAACAAAAATGTATGAGTGTGTACATATACATACATATAATAAAGATATGCTAAAAAGGATTTGTATACTTTTTTAAATATTTTTGAATTTCACGGTGACGATAAATAAAACTTACAACGAGGATAACTATAGTTTATAAATTTTCTTTATTTTTCTTTTTACAACTTCTTACCTCACACAGAGAAAAACATTGCCTTTATGATAGTAACTTAATTTTAGTTTATAACATCTTGTGGTATATTTATTGTCATTGTCATATAATCCTCGCGATGCAGTTCAGCCCATCGCAGTGCTACGGCTGGATTGACTGATTTTCGAAATACCATGCAGGTGATATGCGGTAATTTTTCAAAACAAATTCTATAAAAGCCCAAAGTGCCCAGCGTGTAACGCCAGTTTTTCATTAATTTTGCATTTTTGCCTACATGTTGGGAGTCAGGAGTTATAATTATAAGGATGCCTTCGGGGCGCAGCAGATCGTACGCCTTGCGACAGCAATGCATACGCTTTTCTGGTGAAGGTATGTACTCCAACAAAAGGCTAAAAATGACGCAATCGTAATATTGACACGGTAAGCTTTTTACTTCCCCATATTCTATAAGAACTTCTTCGCCTTTATCTATGACAATTTTTAAGAAATCGCCTTTTATGACATCAGTGGTGGCTGGACATAGATCAATCGCAGTAACATTAAAGTGTGGCTCTCCAGAAAATGGGTTAAAGCAACTTCCTACGTCTAAAACATTGATAGGCTTCGAAAATGTATTTTTTACTTGACTTGTATCCGCGGTCGGAATATCATTATAAGACTGGGCTAAACGTTGCTCGCGATCACGCTTCTCCAGGAATATTCGCTTGGTAAAAAAGTACGATTCGCAATAATCAACTATCCATTTGACACGGCTGCGTGCAAATAAGTTTGGATTTGTAGTATTTGTCTCCCAAATTGAAGCCAACCGATACATAGCCGATGAGTACTGCTGCAATGAAAGAGTATTTTGCAAATGCTCATCCCAAGCTTCGTTCATCCCTTTTATTTTGGATTGAGTTCTTAAATTTTCATGACAATCCTTGATGATTGTCGCAAGTTCCATGTGTTCTTTCTTTAAATCGTCGCAAAAATAATTCGCCATCCTTATTTATTTACCACGCAAATTTTAGCAACAGTACAGCAGAAAAGAAAAAGTAAACAAATCAATTAATCAGCTGTTCTCAAATTAAGGACGGTTGCCACTTCGAAGGGTTTACCAAATGGGATATTTAAGTATGTATTTGGGAGCTAATTCTCGTTCTATGAAAATGTGAAGTGAAAATGAAAAATTCAATGTCAGGGAAAATTGAATTTATTCATTTTATCACTTCATTACATTACTTTAAGCGATTCTAGTTCATTAAAGGCTATTTTTAATATAAATATCTTATGAGCTACATAACCGATTAAAAAAATTTATGTAAAATAAAGGTGATTAGTTTATCTTTTAGTTTCATAGTTTGTATTGCTCTAGTTATACGTGTGGCAACCGTAAAATAAAATAGTTGTGCAGTGTTGCAAATCGACCTAAAATATTACAACAACAACATTAAATTAAAATTATACTTTAAAAAAATATCTACATATCCAAATAAAATGTATGTTGGCAGCTCGCTTCTCGATGTAAACAATTCCTCTTAATCATTAGTCTTACCAGGATCAGCAAATAATCGCGTTATCTGGAATGAGCTGTATATCATGTTTGGAAGATGCTACATCTGTAGTACAATTTATAGAGATATTTTCCGAGGAAGGCCTCCAGTTGAACATCTGCGATGTTATATCACAACATCTCTGGTTAAGAGTAAGTAAACTCCAACAATCTGCAAGGATATAATATTGCCCATTTCAGCCGGAGAGGAAAACATGCGATGGTCAACGCATTTGTTGGACATGCTGGGAGGCTTTGCGCGACTTCCATGTATTTTATTTACGTGTGGCTGAGTTGCACAACCACTGGGATTGGAAATATTCACATGGGAAGGAAGCGGAGCCTTGTGCGCAGGAAATCGAATTAAAACCCGAAATTGTTCATATGGCCGATGCTCTTGAAAATTTAGAAGAAAGATTTGTGGATTCAGGTACATATGTAAAAAACCTAATTATTTATTTATGCAAGAATGATAGATATGTACATATATCATCTTGCCGAGGTCTTCCTTTCAGAAATAAAAGTAGAGGCACAGGATATAGATTCGCTGTTGCAAATTGAATTCATCGATGAACCTAGACCAAAAGATAAAAATGTTAAATTGGGGAAACGACGGGGACGCCCACGCAAAATCGAAAATGCAGCCGTAACCAAAGCCAACAAAATATATGTGGATCAAATACCGGTTGCAAATGATAATGACTCCGAAACTGAGCTACCTTTATCTGTTTTGTTGAAGGGTGTTGGCAAAACTGAAGCTATTGAAAATAAATCCTCTATTGTTATAACACCTGATAATGAGAAACTAAAATCTGAAAAGCATAATCTACCTACTGGGGATCAACCTCCAAAAAAACGTCGGGGCCGACCGAGAAAAGTAGTTATTGAAGAGCCTATGAAACCGTGCGAATCCGTCAAAAATTCTGGCAAAGAACATACTAAAGGCAATGTTCAAAATAACGAAGCAAATGATCAAAATCAGGAATTCTCTATTAATAATGACGACCATGAAAATTACAATGTTGAATTTGAGCCTATTGATTTGGCTGGAACAGCAGATAGCGGTAGTTCAAGTAGTTATAACACAGATTCGGATGAAAGTTTTGAACCAAAACGGAAATATGCTATCATTCCGAAAAGAAAGGTTGTCAAGCCCAAAAAATACCGTAAGCGACCGAAGCCTCTTATACCTCCCAAACGCATGACCCGTGAAGAAATTGAAGCAAAAAATGCACAACAAGAAGAGTATGAAATAGTTATTAAAACATTTTTAAAACTACTTTCATGTCCAAAATGCGAGTTGCTGGTAAAAAATTTTGCCGAAATTCGTGCGCATTTTCGAGCTTCTCATAACGATGAACCGTCATTTTTGATGTGTTGTGGACGCAAATTTTTTACAAGAAAGACCCTGGCCGAGCACATTTATATACATGGAAATCCAGAATATTTCAAATGCAAAACTTGTGGACAAATTTTTAATAATAGTCGCAGTCTACAGGAACATGAAGATGCGCACGTTAATCCATTAAAGGCAAAGGAAACAAAAACATTCCCATGTGAAAAATGTGAAAAAGTCTACTCGTCAAATGTATCTCTTGAGAACCACATCTTCTCAAAGCATGTTCCAAAATCAGAATATAAAATCAATTGCACGCAATGTACTCGTATCAAAAAGTATGTTAAAAGTCTGCTAAAATATAATAAAATAACCTCTATTTATAAACTTTCTTTTTAAGATTTCCGACTCACCGTGCACTAAAAGATCACATAAAAAAATCCCACGGTGCCACAGTCATATGCGACAAATGTGGTAAGCTGGTGCGTGTAAGTTATTTGAAGAAACACCACATGTTAGAACATTCTGATGAACCGCGACCAACTCCTGAACCGAAGCAGTGCCAAATATGCGGAGCATGGCTTCGTCATCAATATGGCCTTAACCAGCATATGAGGACAATACATGAAAACCAAGACTGCGAGCATCGTTGTAAGATTTGCAATAAGGTTTCGACAACCGCTCGGGCTCTTAAGCGTCACATTCATCACAATCATGAATGTGAGCGTAAATTCAAATGTACCATGTGTGAAAAAGCTTTTAAGCGACCTCAAGACCTTAGGGTAGAGTATACATACAAGCATAAAATTATTCTAATTTTTATATAAATATTTCCACATTAATGATAGGAGCATACCTCTGTGCACACTGGCAAAGTGTTGTACGTTTGTCCGAACTGTTCAATGACGTTCTTCTCAAGCGCCAATATGTATAAACATAGGCAACGACGGCATCGTCTCGAATGGGAAGCTGAACGTAAGAATCGTAATATGCGAACTTTTAATATCATGAAAGAGTCAAAGGAGCAAGCAGAAGGAAAACAAAAGGTGCCAACTTCTAATTTCAACAACATCATCTAGGGATAGTTAGTTACTATTAATGGTAAATTACGTATATGTTTAAAAAAAAAATCCATATGTACACGGGTATGTATGTATGAATGTCGGTGGGTATAAAAATTAAAAACTCATCAAACATCGAAATATTTGTTTTTGTTATTGTAAAATAGACGGGGGCGATGTATTTTGATGTTGCAATAGCATAAAACAATATTTGAAAAGTGCTGAGGAATGCTTGCTGAAATTCCAACATTTATTTAAAAAATGGTATAACATTTAACGAATACTTTTTATTATAAAGACACGTTCCTCAATTTAAATATTTTAAGTTTAGTGAATCCAGAGCAAAAATCGCACAAACAGTCGAATTGTCAACTGTCTGATAAATCAATGCGAGTTCAGGGTACCAGATGAGCGCTGCGCGCGTTTATTCGGAAATCCACTATTTTGGCACATATTTGGAATTTTGGGGGGCAAAGTAGTTTAGGTGGCAACGTTCTTCATATAAACAATGCAATTTAATAGTAAAAGTTCATTTCCGCGAAGAATATAATTTTTCCAACCATCTATAAATACGAAGGATGTTTGACAAACTATCATGTATTTTGTGCTTGGAAAAAGCCAACAATTCCATCGATAAAATTAATATCGATTCTGATGATTCGGAAGCAGTAAATGCCCGTGGGATAATTGAGCAACACTTCAAGGATGAGGTAAAGTTGTCTGAGATTCGAATTACAACGTTTGAAATGAGCCTATTCCCTTTTGTAGCTCAGTATGATGTCATTTTTCTCCACGAAAGTTGTGTGCAGCCAATGCTGGGAATTGGTCCAGTCTTTTCATGAATTTTATGTACGTGTGCAGAATGCTCATTTGGCAGCAATGAACACGCTGAAATCTTTGCAAGAGCTAGAGATATCTGTGACAGAAATAAAAGAAGAGCCAGATGTTATAGATGAGTTAGCATCACCTCCTAAACGTCGACGTGGCCGTCCTCGTCGTCAAAAGGACTTCGATAACCTAGACTGTGAGTCGGTTGCCTTAAGAGAATGCAGTGTTAGAATAGAGCAACTGACTGTCCCTTATAACACAATTAGCAATGACAACAAGCAAGATAAGAGTATTGAAAATGTGGATATTAAAAGTGAAGATGAGTATAAAGAAGAATGCTACCATCCAAATATATCTGAAGATGGATCACAAATTGAAATGCCTGATATACTCAGTAGGCATGAGGATGTCTTGGCGCCTTCTCCGCCACAAAAAAAGAAAGTTCGTACTAAACGAAAGCAAAAAAGAAAGCGAAGTGACCAAAAGCCAGAGACAAAGAAGAATAATAAACCGCGGCATAAAACGTCGGACTATGACGAATATATTGCCGATAATTTTAAATTAGTTTGCTTTCTTTGCCAGAAGACATTAACAGATTTTAGAGAACTCAAAATTCATTTTCGACAGCAACACCAAATGAATGGCTATGTAAAATGTTGCGGCAAGAAGTTACTGAAGCGAGGTGTACTCGTTGACCATATTCACTTCCACAATGACCCGGAATACTTCAAATGTCCGCACTGTGCAAAATTATTGTCAGACCGGAGAGGGCTCGAAACGCACCTTCAATTTTTCCATGGTTCGAGAGAACGTACTTTTAGTTGTGACGTTTGTTCTAAGGGATTCTTTCGCCGCGAAGTACTTGCTCGACATTATCTTCTACATGCTCCAGATGAACAAAAGACTGTTAAGTGTACGCAATGCGAAAAAACGTAAGTTTAAAAAAAATGTATTTTTATTTTTCCCTAAACTAACAAAGCAATTAAACCAACTGCAGTTTCTGTAATGAATACAATATGAAGCAGCACCTAAAGCTAGTCCATCTACATTTGTATTCGAAGATTTGTGACATTTGTGGGAAGTCTTTCAACGGTGGCGACGCGTTTCGTCGGCATCAGCAAGAGCATTTGGGCTTACCGAGGCCAATGATTAAATGTGAATTGTGTAATGCTGAACTTACGACAAAATATGGCTTAGCGCGACATATGAAAGTAATGCACACTGAGGAGTACCAGACGCCGCAAGTCTGTCCTATATGCTCCAAAGTGTCTCCAACTCTCAGAGCGCATCATACACATTTTAAATATATGCACGCCACCGAGCGAAAACATGCTTGCAAACTTTGTGACAAAGCTTTTAAAAGACCTAATGACCTACGCGTAAGCATGCTCATTTAAAACAAACAAAACTATTTCGAACTGATATTTTAATTTTTAGGAACATATGACAACTCATACTGGAGAAGTTCTATATACTTGTACATTTTGCCCGCAAACATTTAATTCAAATGCGAATATGTACGCACATCGCAAGCGGAAGCATCCTAAGGAATGGGCAGAACAATGTGCCAAGAAAAAAACTATGGGCCTGGGAAAGCAGATACAAAAAGATCTTGAGACCATAATAGAATCCGTGGATGTAGTGGATACAGACGGGCAAAAATAAAAGGAAAATATATAGTATAGCTCTACAAATAAAAAAAAAGCAGTCCATACATATGTATGTATACAATTAATTTTTTTCTGAAGGACATATTGTGGGTAACTTATGAGTATACGTTTGCACTATAATATTAATAATAGGTGATACGATTTACTAACATGTATGTAAGTATATGAGAAGTAATTTTCTTCAAATTTGGTAATTTTATGCCGAAATGTTAATTCTTAAATTAATAAAACTGGCTATCTTGCATTGATTTTGGTTATAAATTTTCAGTTGTATATTTTGAGGGAATTTTCGCCTATGCCTTTACAAAAATTAAAACTTAATAACATAAAATCCCTGCCAACTCTAATAAATTTCACAGATGATTGGTCTGTTCGATAATAGTTGTGTTTTCGTATTCTCTAGCAAAAAATATCCAGTAACTTGCCAGTGACCAAATTTCGAAGAGTAAGCCAATATTTACTCCCAATGAGTGAAATAGGCAAGAAAGTACGAAAACGCAAAACCAGCAAGAAGTTGCTAGTTTAATGAACAGCTGATTAATTTGTTATTTTCCGATGCAATTTTCTTAGAAAACTAGTGCTTTCCATTTTATTATATATTTAAATAGGTTTATTTTGCCAATTGCAACTCTAAAAGCACCACAAACAATTATTTTCTTAATGTGATTTACAATAAGCATCATGCCATCAGCTGTTTTTCTTACTAGCAAATAGTTGCTAGTAAAAATTTATCCAGTGAAAATCCAGTAAAACTTGCAAGTCCAGCTGTAATTTTTACTCTCTCAATTTCCCCTCTTTTGCTAGCTTCTTGCAAGTTTTTGCGAACGAAAACGACATCCAGTAAAAAACCAGTAAAATTAGTACTGGATTTACTGGATAGTGCGTACGCGAACAGGGCTAATAGTTGTGTTGTTTTGTGAAATTCAACAATAGTTTTTACGAATTTTCATGTTTTGGCTTTTTCGTTCGCAAAAACTTGCAAAGTAGGGGAAATTGAGAGAGCAAAAAATGACAGCTGAAGTTGCAAGCTTTTACTGGATAAATTTTTACTTGTAAGAAAAACAGCTGATCGCATGTTGTTGGATGAAATTTAAATTAATAAGGAAACTGTTTGTGGGTTTTTATTAGTTGTGTTTGTTTACAAATTATCCAGTAACTTGTCAGCAACTCTCCAGTAACTTTATTTCTAAGAATTCGCTCTCATAGAAAAAATTTGCAAAAAAGTAACGCTATTCCAGTAATAATTTGCAAGTTTCTTGAACAGCTGATAAATTGGTTGTTTATTCGCAGCATATTCCTCATACAACAATCTATTTTATATTTAAATATGTATTTTGTGAATTTCCACAATAAAAACCTACAAACAGTCTCCTTATTAGTTTAAATTTCATCCAGCAACATGCGATCAGCTGTTTTTCGTACTGGCAAATTCTTACAAGTAAAAATTTATCCAGTAAAATCCAGTAAAAACTTGCAACTTCAACTGTCATTTTCCGCTCTCTCAATTTCCCCTACTTTGCAAGTTTTTGCGTACAAAAACGCCAAAACATGAAAATCCGTAAAAACTTTTACTAGATTTTACTGGAAATGAGTAAACAAACGCAACTAGTGTTGCTCTCCTGCAATATGATGCTGAATAATTTTCAGTGGAGATCTATTCGAACAGACCAGATTTAATATGTAAACAAAACAAATCAGACTACCAGTGCTTTTTACAAAGTTTGCAAAATGTTTTATGACCAATCCTGTGCATTGTGTTTACAAAAATCCGGTGCGTGTGATAATCAAATAAATTTCGATTCTGATGATGAGCAATCGGTAAATGTGCGAGAGGTAATTAAAAAACACTTCAAGGAAGAGGTAAATTTTCTTTAACTTTTAGGTATATGCACTATTTTTAAGTTAACTTCTCTATTATTTATAGCTCAGTATGTTGCCCTTTTTATCCAACAAAGTAGTTTGCATTGAATGCTGGGAATTGCTTCATCCTTTTCATGAATTTTACGTACGTGTACAGAAGGCGCATTTGGCGGCGAGCAGCAAGCTTAAGACTTTGCAAGAATTAGAGATTGTGGTTACTGAAAGTAAATCAGAGACAGATGCGCTTGAAAATCTGGAGAAACATCTGGGGAGTGAGCCACTTTCTTTACGGGAATGTGCTGTTGACACTGAAAAGTTGATTTCTCCATGTAGCGCTATAAGTGAAGACAGCCAACAACTCAGTGTAAATTTAGAAATGCAAAGCATAAGGAGCGAAACTATGCAAGATGGCACAATAGAATCAAACTGTGTACCGCAGTTGTCTGAAGATGAAGAAAATAACTCAGGGAGAGAAGAGGATGACATCGGATGTCGAATTCCTCCAAAAAGAAAACGGCTGGCTAAAAGGCCTAAAAAAATAAGACTGACAGAACAAGAAAATGACCTTAAGAAAAGGAATACGCAGCGAAATAAAACAGCAGAAAGTGATGAATTTATAGCGCAAAATTTTAAATTAAAATGCTGTATCTGTTGCAAATCTCTTACAGATTTCAGAGAATTAAAACGTCACTTCCGCGAAGAGCACCAAACTAATGGGTATGTTAAGTGCTGTGGCAAGAAATTACTTAACCGCGGTGTACTAGTTGACCATATTCAAGTTCACATCAATCCAGAATACTTCAAATGTAAACACTGCGAGAAGGTACTATGCGATCGAAGCGGTCTCGAGGCACATGAGCAATTTTTCCATGGTTCTAAGGAACGCATTTATCAGTGCGACATTTGCCGTAAAAGCTTTTTTAGCCGTAAAATTTTAACTCGACATCATTTAATACATGCCCCAAAAGAACAAAAAAATATTAAATGCCCGCAATGTGATAAAAGGTAAGTGAAAATACACCCACTTCAAAGAAGACACAAATCAAAATCACCCGTTTTCAGAAAACGCGAAATTTATTTCGTAATACATATATACATGTTAATCACACGGGCAAGGGAGACTCTACCTTAATTTTTTCAATAATTTACACCAAAGTTTTGGTCCAGCTTTTGCTGAAAGGTATACATACTTATATGTAAATAAAAAGTCTAAAAACCTCCCTGCAAACCAAAGTACCCGGCAGTCGGGTCTACATAACCGGAACGACCTAGATTTATGTATGTATGCATGTACATATATGTACATATCTGACCAAGGACTGCCACTCCAGCATCACTCCCCAAAAACTCTTTGGGAAATTTGTATGCTGCTACGTTTGTGTCACTTTTGAAATGGATGTGTGATATGTCTTTCCAATAAAATTTTGGCCAATTCACATTGATTTTTTATGCAGATTCTGCAATCAATACATGATGAAACAACACCTTGCGCTTGTTCATCTAAATTTGTATGCTAAGATATGCGACATTTGCGGCAAGTCCTTAAATGGGAAACAAGCTTTTCGATGGCATCAGGAGGAACATGCTGGCGTATCAAGGTCCTTAATAAAGTGCACATTATGCAATACAGAGCTGAAAACAAAATATGGCTTAGCGCGGCACATGAAAACAATGCACACCGAAGAATACCAAACGCCTCAAGTCTGTCCAATTTGCTTTAAAGTGTCTCCAACCTTACGGGCCCACAAAAGCCACATTGAATATATGCATAGCGCAGAGAAAAAACATGTATGCAAACTTTGTGATAAAGCTTTCAAATTGCCAAAATGCTTGCGAGTAAATACATACTTCTAATATTTTTTAATATCTCCATATTAAGTATGTGTATATTTTTATTGTTTAGGAACACATGGCAACACACACTGGAGAAGTTTTGTATACCTGTACATTTTGTCCGCAAACGTTCAACTCTAAATCGAATATGTACTCTCATCGCAAACGCAAGCATCCAAAGGAATGGTCAGAAAAGTGTGCAAAGAAAACCCTCCTTGTAGAGTAAGACCACAGATAATAGTAATAGGGGGCTACCAATGTCTTTACAATAAGCTTTTCCGAACGTTGAAGACTATTCAAACGGCGCCTTGGTGTTGTAACACAAAGGGGAGGGACCTAGAGTTT